TATAGTTCTTGATCTCTGTAGTCTGTACCTGTGATCTACAGATCAAATCTGGCTAACTCAAGGATCCAAACCATCTGAAGAAAGTTATCAATTGGAGCACATTGACACAGCTTGTTCAACAGGTCATGCTTTCCATTTATAACAGAAAGATGATTCTGTTCATCCAACAGCCTGCACCACTTCAGCTGTAGTAAACTCCCAAATAGTTCATTCAGAACAGTGGCAACATGTCTCTCAAACCCAGAAACATTCAAAATGATATCATATGTAGTGTACAATAAAAAATTTCTATCACTATGAAGCTATAGGAGAGAGTTATCGAGCATCGCTTGAGAGCAATAACACAGGTCTCTATGAACCAATTTGGTTTCATGTCCGGAAGGTCAACCATGGAAGCCATTTTCTTAATAAGACAAGTTATGGAGCGGTATAGGGAGAAGAAGAAGGACCTACACATGGTTTTTATTGACTTGGAGAAAGCTTATGATAAAATACCAAGGAATGTTATGTGGTGGGCTTTGGACAAACATAAGTCCCAACGAAGTACGTTGGACTCATTAAGGACATGTACAACAATGTTGTGACTAGAGTTCGAACAAGTGATGGAGACACAGATGACTTCCCGATTAGGATAGGACTACATCAAGGGTCAGCTTTGAGCCCTTATTTGTTTGCCTTAGTGATGGATGAGGTCACAAGGGACATACAAGGGGACATCCCTTAGTGTATGCTTTTCGCGGATGATGTAGTGCTAGTTGATGAAAGCCGGACAGGAGTGAATCAGAAACTGGAGTTATGGCGGGAGACTTTGGAGTCCAAAGATTTTAGACTCAGTAGAACTAAAACTGAGTATATGAGATGTGACTTCGGCACTACTACTCGGGAGGAGGAAGATATTAGTTTGGAAGGTCAAGTAGTGCCTAGGAAGGATACCTTTCGATATTTAGGATCAATGCTACGAGAGACGGGGATATTGATGAAGATGTTAGCCATAGAATCAAAACAGGGTGGATGAAGTGGCGGCAAGCATCTGGTGTCCTATGTGACAAAAGGGTACCACAGAAGCTAAAAGGCAAGTTTTATAGGACGGCGATTAGACCTGCTATATTCACCATGTTCGCTTGTTGGTTTCAGCTAGGCTTATTCAAACAGCCAACAGTGTTTTCCTCTCACAAAAAACCAGCATCAGCCAGCCTAAACCAGCACCAGCATCAACCAACGAACAGGGTGATTGTATGGTGCATAATGTTGGCCTACGAAAAGACGACATGTTCAACAGATAAGTGTCGCGGAAATGCGTATGTTGCGTTGGATTTGCGGTCATACAAGAAGGGATCGAGTTCGGAACGATGATATACGTGATAGATTAGGGGTAGCACCAATTGAAGAAAAGCTTGTCCAACACCGGTTGAGATGGTTTGGACATGTCCAATGGAGACCTCCAGAGGCACCGGTGCGTAGTGGAATCCTAAGCCAAGATAGTAACATGAAGAGAGGCAGAGGAAGATCGAAGTTGACTTAGGTAGAGGCAATAAAAGGAGACTTGAAAGGATGGTATATACCCAAAGACTTAGCCTTAGATAGGAGTGCTTGGAAGACAGTTATTCGCGTGCCTGAACCTTGATTGCTTCTGCTGGGTTTCAACTCTAGCCTACCCAACTTGTTTGGGACTTAAAGGCTTTGTTGTTGTTGTTGTTGTAGTCTGTTCTGTTGAACTGATAAAAAGTTAAAAACTGATCAGCACCAAAATGATGCACTGTCAGAACTTAATTAGCCAAACAAGGAAAGACTTAAGATTCAATTGCAGTATCAGCACATGACAGTTCAAACTTGAAACGCGTGACGGAGGTTATAACTGAACAGATATTCAACACACGATTGACAGATACTCCCTCTGTTATATACCCGGCGTGCAGAGCCTAATTTCAGATACCAAGACGATTATGGAAGTACGTGCTTCGTATTAACTGCGTGTGATTAGCTGCGTCGTGATTAGCAGCCAGCTGCCGGCCGCTAAGTCATCCGCTCATCCCAGCCACAAAGAACAAATAAAATAATCAGCGAGTGTATAGAGTACTAGTGCATGCAGCGAAGCTTCATTGTTCTGGCTCATGCATGCATGCAGCATGCGTCCAGTGGCGTAATGAGCAGGCTCCTTGATATTCCAGCCCGCCTCCTATTACGGCCAAATTAGAAAACACTTGTGCGCCGGGCATATACGAATGGAGGGAGTATCTTTCCCCAAACTGTGCAGGATTTGTGTGGGTTAGCAGGTAATTCATCTATTTAACACTTACTCTCAGAACTAAATTAACCAATTTGTTTTGGAAACAATACGAAGCATAGTTAATAGCTTGGTCTTGCCATAAGTTCAAGAGACTACTAAATATGCAGAAGAGTATTATTACTAGTTCACCCATGCCCTACATCCATATCTCTGTGCATATAAATAACATATATCAATTGACAAGCTTACTTATATAACTAGGTAGCAAAGATCCATTCCAATGTAGTATAGCAAAGTGTACCTTCAGTTTGAGCAGCACGTGCAGCCTCAAATTCTTTCTGTAGGCGCTCAAAAATCAGCTTATCAGAATCCCTAAAGTAAAAAAAAAAAAACTTATGAAGTAGAATAGTAGTTTTACAAAGCATGAAATTGCTCAGAGCATGAGCAGTGAGTATAAAAACAAGCAGCAAAGGAAACAAGATGAAGGAAAAAATATATCCAGGAAAAACTACCCACATCCAAATTTCAGATCATCGTCCAGAATATGGCTAGATGCACATTAATATAAATATCATCCAAACAACAGAGTTTAGAGGGTATGCGTTTTGAGTTAAGAGTAGCCCACACTAGAACTCATCTGACAGGACAAAGAATTTAGACTCTACTCTAGTAGTAGAAGCAAAGAATCTATATGGATTAAAGAAATATAACTCAACAGAAACTTTTTCTCAAAACATCTGCCATGTGACATGTTGAAATATCAAACAGGAAGTAGTGGGAGCTTTCTGCAGAAAATCACATTCCTTGGGCTAATGCCAACAATGCTAGAAGCATTAACCACAGGGAAAAACAATTACCAACATACAATAGCATTAGCATAGCAGCATTTTAAAACAAACCAGGCTTATTTATATAACATAACTACAGTAGTGTTCTTTTTTATGCGAAGATTTTGGATCACGAACTTCTTGCAGTGAGCCAATAACACACTTCAGTACAGAAGACAACCCTATAATCCGAAAAAGATGCCAAATCCATTTACATAAATTTAATATAGATGGTTCTACCAACAACTATAATTCATTTTTGATTACTTTTCCTGTTTCTAGTGAGCACCACCGCAAGAGGTATACAGTTAGGAACAGATATAGAAAAATACAGTTGGATTCAGGTTTGCAATGACTGTTAACAGCGAAGGAATGAAGGATAGATGAAATGGGAACAGAAGAGCTTAACAAGTAGATCACAGTTTGCAAATTAGTTCTCAATTTGAACAGAGTAAGAAGAATTCCACTATCGTAAATTGTTACATGCCAAAGTACCTAAACAATAATTATCTTAAACAGTGAGCCTGGTCTGCATCCATGGAAAGCTTTTGCAAAGTTAAAGGAGTACTGTGAAAGGCGCTCTTTCAGATCTTCATGCCTTCTGAGGATGTTTGACACTGCAAAACAAAATGATAAAAAAATGAGTTAAGACAACACCTTTTACATGATTTATGGCATTCCTATAGAATTATTAAGCATGTAAGGGGTAGAAAGTCCCCTTCATCACAACACAAAATAACGTTTGTTGGGACAGGAAAAAAAAAGGTTCTTACGCCTTGCGCGTGTGGCCTCAAGTTTTGCATCGTCATCCCTTGCATAAGTCTGCAGTAAATAGAAGGATAGGCAGAAAAGCTCTTAAAACCTCACAGAACATACTGAAAGAGTACTACAAAGAAACAGACAGGTAAATGACAACATACAAATAATCCTCAGATTGCCAGCTACCATCCAATCAATTGAGTTCTAACAGAGGAATGAAAAATAAATAATTTAATACTGATATACATTCATATCTGTGCATGAAGTACACATACATTTCTGTACTGACTGTAAAGAACTAATAAAATCAATTTAGTTGCACTTCTAAGCACAAATTGATTTCCATAGCAATAGGTGTTAGTTAAACACCAGGAACTGCAGGCTGTTGCTGATATTGGCAAATCAGCAAAATTGAATCCGGCGCTGTAGCTCACAATGAGGCAGACCGCACTATAGTCAGACTAATGGTTTTCTATGGTGGTAAAAAGACATCCTAAAAGTCCAATATAGAGCCTGAGTGGTCGAAAAGAAAATGCAAAACTAAAATACAACCATCTCATAGTTCACAATGAATGTAGGTGCAGACTGTTTTTGCTCAACTCACCGCGAAAACCACAGTACCTATCTGACGAACTCACAGCCAAGACAATGCGATTTCATTACAAAAAAATTGGGCCGTTCAAATTTAGGTGGTCGACCTCACCTCCATGGGCGCCATGAATCTGAGCGCCCGCTGCTGGGCAACAAGTCGCCCCTGCAGTAGCGGCCGCGAGAAAGACGGTATCTCCCTGCGACAGCGGCTAGGAGACAGCGCGTTCCCTTCGGCTGCTGCCCTGCGACGGCGGCCCGGCGACCTGCGACGGATGCGCAGCGAGTTCCGGTGGGGGAGGGGGGATGACTAGGCGGCTTTCACGCTACCCGATTCGCTGTTTCCGGTCCGGCGAGCTGGCTCCGGCAGCGTCTCCCTAGGGTTTGCAGGAACGAGAGCGTGCGGGGGAGGGGAGCCGGGGAGGACCGGAGGAGGAGGCAGGGTTACCCCCAATGGCATTTGCGTGTAATTTTCAACTGCGGGTGTGGGTAGTTTTGTTTGGTTTCCATTTCACAGTACGTGGGCTCGGCGGCCGTTTTGACTCTGCCCCCACTTCCTGACCCCGCCGGCCCTCGCCTGACGAGTGACGACCCCCCCAATGGACTCTCCCGGCCGGCCCCGCCGCTCTCCGTCCGCCGACCGTTTCCTCGGCCTCTTCTCCTCCCCGTCCCACGCGCTCCCCGCTTCCTCGCCCTCCGCCGGGGACGAGCTCCTCGAGGGCGACCTCCTCTTCCCCGCGCCGCCCTCCTCCTCCTCGGACCCGCCGCCCGACGCCTCCAAGAATCCGGGCCGCGTCCAGGGCGGCCACCTCGGCCTGCTCGCCGCGCTCCACGAAGGCGACAGGAAGGTGCGTGGGCGCGGCGGAGCTGCTGCTGTGGCCGCGTCCACGGCCACGGCTGGAGCCTCCGTGACGCTGCTCCACCGCAAGGCGACCATCGCCGCGGCCGCAGCCGCGGCGTCGGCTTCCTCAGTTACGCCTTCACTGTCCCCTACGTCCGCCTCGCGTGCCATCCCTGTGGCACCGAGGCCAAGGGACCCTGAGCTGCCGCCCGCGGCGCCGTACCACCAGTCGGCTCCCGTCCTGGTTCCCATCCCTCCACCCTGGAGTCGCGGGCGCAAATGGGACAAACTCGCCGGCGGTCCTGGCGACGGGGACGACGACGACGAGGAGCTCTTTCGTGGGGACGCCGCCATGCTGCCCCCGCACGAGATGGTGGCGCGCGCGTCCGCGAGCGGCGGCTACGGTTCGCCAGGGAAACCGTCCTCGATGCTGGAGGGCGTCGGCCGCACGCTCAAGGGACGCGACCTCCGCCGCGTGCGCGACGCCGTGCTACGGCAGACTGGCTTTCTTGACTGAATCCAGCAAAGGTGGTAATATGTTTTGTCCTGCATGATCTAGTAGGAAAGGTGAAACAAGAAATTGTGTTTAGCTTGTGGTCCAAACTACTCGCACTTTTCGTGTTCTTGAACGATCATCACTTGCTGTAACTTAATAATCGTTGAGTAGTGAGGATTAGTGTTTGGGGTCAGAGATCTCTCTCTGCAGCTGAGAGAGAACAGAACTTGAGAGGATGTTTGGTGATTTTTGTCAATCCAAATGTCCAAGCCAATGCATTGTTTGCTGCATCAGAATTTTGTTTTGTGAAATAATCTTGAGGATTTTGGTACTCTGCCACTTTTTTGGTTCCTAGCAAGGTGCATGTGTTGTAATAGGCAAATATTATGCTCTCCGGTTGGAAGAGATGAGTGGAAACTATATACCTATAATTTTTTGGTTTTACGGGTGGTTGTTTTTTCTCATTGACGATTGAAATTGGGGGATGCTGAAGATGCTCTAATTTTTTACTGCTCCTATTCATATATAAGCTCCGATGGTCCGATAGTCATTGTCTTTCTTTTAGTCTTTTAATATAAATTACTCTCTTCAACTATATGATACTTCCTTCATTCTAGAATGTAAGCCATTTTAGTTGTCTTAAGTCAAACATCTCTAATTTGACCAAGTTTATAGAAGCAAACGGATAACATCTACTCCCTCTGATTCCAGATGTATTGGTTGTTCAGGGTATATTGACATGGTCTCTAATGTGACACTGATGTGCTATTGCCACGTTACTCTTTTTTCGCTAATTCTGAAATGATCATGGACAGCCCATTTAGCTATTATTATGAAAGTATTTTCTATGATGAACCATGTGTTATAAATCTTTGTAATTTTTCGTATATTGATAGGGCAAACTAAAAAGTTTGACATGATAGAATCCTAAAACAACCTACACTTGTTATTGAGTACCATTTGAAATAAATGCACTACCAAGATATATCTGTTTTGGATTAACGAAACTAATTTTGATGTTGTAGTAGATGTTAGTGCATTTCTATAAACTTAAGCTAGTGAAGTTTGACTTAGGACAACTAAAACAGCCTACAGTCCTACATTTTGGGACAGAGTGAGTACTAAAGCCAATATGAAGCATTAAATATAAATAAAAAATAAAACTAATTAGACAGTTTAGACAAAATCCACGAGACGAATATTTTAAGCCTAATTAGACTATGATTGGACACTAATTGCCAAATAACAACGAAAACTGCTACAGTGCCATTTTACCAAAAAAATTGGCATCTAAACAAGGCCTTGGATCTTTCATCAAAAACGAAAAAAAGTATTGTAATATTTGACTGTTAGCGCACTTCAATCGACTGAACTGCCCATAGTGATGTTCAAAAGATGGACAATAGCCAAATGGTTTCATAGATTCTTGTCAAGTGATTTCAGTTTTGAACTAGGAATGAGAATTACCTAAACAGGTGTTTCACAATGGTTCTAGTTCATTACAAGGAGAATATGGACAATAGCCAAATGGTTTCATAGATTCCTGTCAAGTGATTTCATTTCAGCAAGAGAAACGTTTGTAGAGAGGATATGGATCTAAAACGTTTTTAGAAGAATTTGGATCCTTACCAAATAAACCCATAAGTTGTCATACACATCTACATGATCTCAGTTGAAACAAGGGCAGGTAAAATGTTTTGTGTACAAGGACAGGTGAAACAAGAAATTTGTGGTTAGCTTGTGGTCTAAACTGTTTGCAGTTTCCGTGTACTTAAATCTTCTCTTGTCATAACTTGAATAAGCGATAAGTAATGAGGATTAGTGTTTGGGGTCAACAGCGAAGAGAGCAAAACTTTAAGGCTTCCTTTGGCAGCAGGGCCGGACTAGCCCAGGGAAGAGATTCCTCGCACGAGGATTTCAGCGGACGCTCAGTTCCCAGGCCAGCATTCCCTCGTGCCCTACTTATTTGTTTGGAGACATGGCAGATAGGGGGACGCTTGTGGCGGCGAGTTGGTCGCGACTCGCGAGCGAGCGTCGTCGTCTCGTGCCGCACAGAGAAGCCGCGCCCGGACGGTAGAGATGGGGAAGTGCTGCCCCGGGAAATGGCGTGGGTCGGGTCCGCTCGCCCCCTTCTTATGTACTTCCAAACGCCAAACCAATTTGACCCGGGGCTACGTTCCGCGCGGGGGGCCTGCCCGGGAAAAGGCCGGGATAACCCTGTGGATCAGGTCTTCCGAAGGAAGCCTAAGAAGATGTTTGGTGATTTTTGTCGGTCCAAATGTCCAAGCCAATGCATTGTTTGGTCACATTACCTATACGTCTGAAATTGGCGCGATGCACAAACCGGCCAATACCTGCAGTCCTGCACGTTATCAGGGAAGGGGCTTCGTGGCTGCCTAATTTAAAATCAAGCCGGTGCTGTGGCATGCAGGCCCAGCGGTGGTGGCGGTGGCGGCAGTTCGTGGGCAGGACGGTGAGGTGGTGCGTGGTCATCGACATCCGGATTGAAAGGGCGAGGTAGGAGCGATGGTGGCCACCAGATTAGGGCATCCTCGAAAGCATTCAAATAGCCAGCATAAATTGTATTTTATTCTGAACAAAGGAGAAAGAATGTACTCTTGCCCCCGCGTCGTCCCGACGGGCGGCTCGGGCAGCTCTCCCAGCCCTCGCACCCGCATCCCTCAAGAACCCTAGTGGCGCTGCACACGCCGGGCCGAGCTATCACCGGAGGCCCAATGAAAGCAAGGAGGAGGGCGGCGGCGGCAATATCGCTCTCTCCTCCTCACCCATCACTCTCCTTCCTCCTCCTTTCCCATCCCAGTGGCTCGTCGAGCGCAACGGATCGGCTCGCTCCGATCCGGTGGCGGATCTGCTGGTGGGGCGGGTGCTCGGCGGGCCGAAAGCATGCCCACGTGGTGCCCGCGCCCTCTCCAATCGCCTCCTCCTCCCTTGCTCGCTCCGGTCGGGCATGCCGCCGCTGGCCGGGATCATGGCTTGGCGTCTCTTGCTGGATCCCGAGGGGGATGAGAGAGGAGGCGCTTGGCGTCTTGGCGACTAGATCTGGACGATGCACGCACGGCTCCGTCTTCTGCAGTGATGGCGACCAGATCCCTTTGACACCGCCACCGAGGCGCGCTGCTCTGATGGCTCAGTGTCGGCGGATTCGGTCTTTGAGGGTCGAATCCGGTGTCCCTAGGGCCGGATCCGGTGTCCTTGGGGCCAGCGGCTGTGCGGCATGGCGGAGCGGGCAGCATGGATCCCCTCTCGATTCGGGTGGCTTGGGGCCGGATTCGGTGGCCTGCTGGCTGGATCCGGTGGTTCTTTATCGGATACGGCGGGGAGCCCATGCGTCCACGGCGGCGGCTCCAACCTTGGTGCTGGGAACGCCGCTAGTGGCTGGGGCTGCAGGCTCTTGGTGCTTGGTGCTCCCATTGCGGCATCCTGCGTCTTCCTCGCCCGGTGCTAGTGATGTGGTTTGACCGAGATCCACGGAGGGCTGGGGAGCAGGCGTGACAATGACAGTTCGGCGGCAGAGGCTGCTGGAGGTGTTGCGTGGCGTGATTGTTGCGGGGTTGGCTCGGCAGGGGGTGGGGACGTTGGTGGGTTGGGCGACTGGGGCTTCTTCTATCCCGGCCCTCTTCTCCCTACCATCTGCCTTTCCCCTTCCTTGGGCTGGTTTTCATGGTGGAGCTGGCCGGTTCTGCCTACTGCTGGCTGACATTGCCGGTTGCGGTGGGGGCGGACTCTCCGACGGGTTTCACCGACGCTTCTCCTGGTCAGCGTCCCTAGGGGTGGCGTCTAGGCGCCGCACCCTACCTCCTAGTAGGGTTGGGCCTCTGGCGGCGATGGTGTGGAGGTGGTTTGAGGTGGGGGCGAAAGCGTGGACGACGACGTCGTCTGCTGTGGGGGTATTAACCCCTATACCCTTATGGCTAGGCTTGGACCGGCCCAGATCAGAGGGTCCGGTCCACCTAAAGACGACGCGTGGCCCGGCCAACCTATTCGGAGTCCCGCACAAGGAGTCAAGACGGATTTGGCGATCAAGCAAGATCCTGGTCGGTTAGAATAGGAATCCTTATCCGGCCACCTATGGCAATTGTAACTGGCTAGGATTAGTTTCTAGATCTGTAACCCTACCCCCGGACTATATAAGGCGGGCAGGGGACCCCTCTAAAAAACATCTCTCATTGACATACAACAATATAATCAGACGCAGGACGTAGGTATTATGCCTTCTTGGCGGCCGAGCCTGGATAAAACCTTGTGTTTGTCTTGCGTCACCGTCTTGTTCGTAACTTGCGCATTTGTCTGCCAACAATCTACTACCTTGGGCATACCCCTGGGTAGACTACCGACCATATTTCGTCGACAGTGGCACGCCAGGTAGAGGGTGTGCGTACTGCTCTCCAAGCGAACAAGATGGTCATCATCCCCGGCTTCATGGCTACACCGAACGGCCTCACGTTCACCATCGGTTAGATCACCTGGACCACCGGCTCCGACGACCTCGTCGCCACGATCACGGAGGAGGCGCGGATTCAATCTGCGTCAATCGCTGCTTCACCTGCATCGGCTATGGCTCCGACCACGGAAGATCTGGCTCCGACCACAGAAGATCTAGCTCCAATCACGGTGGATCTGGCTTTGACCACGGTGGATACGGCTCCGACCACGGTAGATCTGGCTCCGACCACGGTGGATTTGGCTTCGACCACGGTGGATCTGGCTCCGACCATGCTCGCATCGCTTTCAGCCACGCCGACAACCCATCGTCCGCTTCCCCGCTACAAGGGGAGGCAGATCGACAACACCGACCTGCTCGACTCCATCGATCAGGTCGGCACCAAACTTGCTGAAACCCTAGCTCTGGTAAGTTCAATTCAACATGGACCTAATGAGCAGGTAACCGCTTCCCACAACAGATCTACCCGACCAGCTCGGGCCAGTCGTCCTGCACGACTTGGTACAGATCTTGTGGTCATATCTACTCCTGAAGGGCGCTCCGCTCGTCGCCGGCCAGC